TCGATTTCTGCGCTGAGATCTTCTTCTCTTTTGATGACTCTCTTTACGAAGGGCGCTGATGTGGTCGTTCCACCAGTGAACAGAAGGTCTTGTGTTCATGCTAGGTCTACGAGACATACTGGCGTCACACGCCTGGGTCGCTCTTTTTATCAGGTCCTTGGTCTTCTCTTCTGCGCAGCCCGCGATAATCTGGTCACTATTGAGAGCTACGAACAATGCACTTGGGTCAAGAGTTTTTACCTTCCAGCCAATGGTGTTAAGTTGCTCTTTAGGTCTTCTCGGGCTCTGGGCGTTTAATATTTCCCAGAGAATCGCGTTGTGGTCGCTGGCTGTGTAGGTATCCAGTTGGTCACCTTCCAGTTGATATTACCTCTGGTGAGGCTGCCACTGACGAAAGTGAGATCTACAATAGAACTTGCGTCTCCCTTGGTGTAGGTTGGTGTGTCACCACTGTTGAGCAGTACTACATCTAATGTAGAAAAGGCTTCTAGTAATTCCTTTCCTCGCGCGTTTGTATGCTTGCTTCCCCAGTCTACTGCCCATGCGTTGTATGTATGTATGTATGTATGTATCTACCACTATACATTAATATTAAGGGCTGAGATTTTCACAATGTCTTTTATTAGGGATACTCTGAAGAATTTTCAATGGGCGCTTAAAATTGTACTTATGACATTTTTGAGATTGTTGAGCTCAAAATATAATTTATGTGATATTTTGAGCTCACTGAGTTCGAAGAGATAATATTTTGATGCATTTGAGCTCTTCCAGCTCAAAAGTCTGTTAAAAGTTTCATAGAACACTATTTTTGGAATTTTCAAATCGCAATAACTTTTGAATGGATCAACCGATTTTCACGCGGTTGGCGGCATTCGACGCAGTTTTATCATCCTCATAAGTTATTCTCAGGTTTTAATTGATCGAACCAAAAATTTTAGAGTAATCCCGAAAAAACACTTTTTTTGGTTTTCTTTTGTTCACGATAACTCACGAATGAATCAACTGATTTTGACCGGACTGGAGGCGATTGACGCGATTTTTTAATGTTAAGAGCTGATTAGTTTTTGGAATTGATCGGTAAAGCCGTTTAAAAGTTATTTCAAAAAAACCACTTTTCAAACAAATTTTTTTTGTAGTTTTTTTGCGATTTCTCAAAATCTACTGGTCTGAATCGTTCCAAATTTTATTCAAAATCTAAGTTTGGTCAAGCCTTTTCGAATGGCACCAACCGCGATCAAATCGGTCGAGCCGTTCAAAAGTTATAAGCGGTTCACATATGTCACACACACACACACACACACACACACACACACACACATACACACACACACACACACACACGATGGTGGCCCTCGATGGTGATCCGATCAACATTGGATGTGCAGAAGAACAGACTAAGGACCTGATGAGGAGAGTAACACATGCTTGTGATGCCAGTATGCCTCGTAAACGTGGCATAAAGTCGAGGCCTTCGGTCCATTGGTGGAACGACCACATCAGCGCCCTCCGTAAAGAGTGTCATAAGAAAAGAAGAATCTCTCAGCGCAGATATCAACGGCCCAACTCAGTGGAGCTGATCGCAGAGTACAAAAAGGCGCGTCGTGAACTGAATAAAGCCATCAAAGAGAGCAAAAGAAGATGCTGGAAAGAGCTTATATACGAAGTGGATAAAGACGTGTGGGGTAGGCCTTATAAGGTGGTTATGACCCACCTGAAAAAACAACAAATGCCATCACCTACGTGCCCTCAACTTCTTCAGAAAATCGTCACTGCTTTGTTTCCACAGCAACGCAACTTAGATTATCAGTTGGCGCCAGGGGAATTGGACGACATCCCACCTGTCACTGAAGAAGAACTGCTGGAGGCTTGTAACCGTGTAGGGAATAATAAAGCGCCGGGATTGGACGGAATCCCTAATTTAGCCTTGAAAACCATCATAAAGGCAGCTCCAACATTATTCCTAGACGCTTATAATGCATGTCTCAAGGAGGGGACTTTTCCTCGTAAGTGGAAACAGCAACGATTAGTACTGTTACCTAAAGGGAAGAAACCACCAGAAGAACCGTCATCTTACCGACCACTTTGCATGCTAGATACGGTGGGTAAGATATTTGAGCGCATAATTCATCAACGAATAGATGCAGTAGTCGACCCACTCCTGGCAGACAACCAGTATGGATTCCGGAAAGGACGATCAACCCTGGACGCGATCAATCTGGTTGTTAGTACGGCTAAAGAAGCGATCGTAGGAACGAGATGGAAAAACGCCTTCAATTCCGCCAACTGGAACTGCATCATGCAAGCTCTTCGAGAGAAAAACGTCCCAGAATACCTGTGTAGAATAGTGGCCAGCTATTTTACCTATAGAGTTCTTAAATACGACACAAAGAATGGTCTAAAAGAGTATGATATTACCGGAGGTGTACCCCAGGGCTCTGTACTTGGTCCACTGCTGTGGAATATCATGTACGATGGCCTAGTGAGATTGAAATTGCCAAGAAGTATAAAACTCGTAGCATATGCAGACGACGTAGCCGTAGTAATCGTCGCTAAACACCTTGACGAGATTAACAACATGTTCGACATCACCTTCGAGCGAGTCCATCGGTGGATGAATACGGTAAACCTGCATCTGACTACACACAAAACTGAGGCAGTGCTTATATCCAGCAGAAAAGTGTTAGAGACCATCAAGCTGAAAGTAGGCGAACAAGAAATCACATCACAACCTTACATCCGATATTTGGGAGTGATGCTTGATGCCCGTCTCAACTTTAAGCAGCAAGTGGAACACGTCAGTGCCAAAGCGTCAGTAGTGAGGGCTAGTCTCGCACGACTGATGCCGAACGTTGGAGGCCCAAAGGAGAGCAGGAGACAACTACTATCATCATTTGTCACATCGGTGCTCACATATGGAATATCTATTTGGGCAGACGCGCTGAAGTTGCAAGAATCATGGAGAAAAGCAGGACCAGTATATAGACTGAGCGCTGTAAGACTAGCCAGTGCATTCCGCACGATATCATAAGTAGCAGTGTGTTTCATTTCCGGAACTCTACCGCTTAGAGTTCTAGCTGAGGAAAGACGGAACCTTTACCAACGAAAGAGGTCAACCACACTAAGTGCCGAGGAACTCAGAGCTGAAGAACGGTAAAACAGCATTGCACGATGGCAATCGCAGTGGGACGCCGCGACAACAGGAAGATGGACACACCGTCTCATACCGAAGATCGACATTTGGCTTAACCGGAATCACGATGAGGTCAATTACTATCTTACGCAGATGTTGTCGGGACATGGGTGTTTCCGAGAGTATCTACACCGCTTCAAGCACGATGACTCTTCAGGGTGCCCGACCTGCCCAGGAGTTGCTGAAGATGCGGAGCACGTCTTCTTTGTATGTCCTCGTTTCGACCCACAGCGTGAAGAGCTGGAGAGGATCCTGAACCAGAGATTGCAACCAGATTCACTAGTGGAAGCAATGTTGTTATCAGAAGCTGCCTGGAACGCTACCAACACGTTCGCAACAGAAGTCCTCAAAGACTTACGTTCCACCGAAAGAAGAAGAGCAAATAGCAGAAGATAGAAGGAAGGTAGTTAACACCTTAGCCACCAGAAGGAAGAGCAGTAGCTAGATCCTCCCCTCACGAAGTAATGCCTGACGGCGGTTTCCATGAGGGATTAGAGGAAAGAGGAAAGGGGTTTAGGGTTTAGTGGGTAGGGGCGTTAGCGTCGAGTTTTAGTATGACGCTGCGTCGAGTCGCCACATATCCAGGCCAACAACTATGCCTAGAATCCGTAAAAAGGATTCCCCCCCCCCCCTAAAGGAAAAAAAAAAACACACACACACACTCACTCACTCACACACACACCGTGACAACCTCGCGGGGATAGTCAGGGAAGCTTGCTGTGACTTTCAAACGTCGAGATCTGATGAAAACTCGATTTTTGCAAAACGGGGTAAAAACAATAACTTCCCGATTTTTGAAAATCTTCGATTTTCTTAGCGGGAAGTTAAAAATAGTGTGTTTTTTTGAAACACTTTAGTGGACAGCGTGTGCAGTAACCGGAGGGTTCAGCGCAGTGATGTGAGAGTCCGTGAGACCACACGAACTAAGTTAGAGTATCGTGAAGGTCCAGGGAACAGCGCGAAGTAGATAGAGTAGTGTAAGGGTCCAGTGGACAGCGGGCACTGCAGCAACGTGAGGGTCCAGCTGGACAGCGCGAGATATACCGTATGAGAGTGGGACGTGAGTATGTGATTATCCTATGAATTTCTATTAATTGTTGTAAGGCCTTATTTCAATTGTAAAAAGGATTGGATAAATATATAATATTGTAAAACGAATTTCTGAGTACAAGTTCTGGTTCCTTCAGCAATCTCTCACGATCCTGATCTATTACTCTATGTTCTGGTCCAGTTCTGGATACTGACTCCAAAATGCATCGGCGCCCTTAATAAATAAAAGCCCTGGTTTAACGATATTAAACCATTGGGTTAAGCCTCTGCCGGGCTTTGCTCAATGGCTGATACCCAGGGCTCGGCAAATGACAAGTGGCTCAAGACACAGCTATTCGTCAAGCATTCACGAATCCTAGCTGGGACAGGAAAGGTCTTTCGATGTATATCAAAAAAAGTCAAAAAATTAAAAAAATAAAAAAAAAATTTTTTACAAGTATCTGATTTAGCGGGGAATGCCTCATAAATATATAAAAATAAAATATGGATACATGGTTTTCGAGAAAATGGATTTTTGTTTTATAGTGAACAATTTTCAATCGGTAGAAAGTATTATTTTTGTTCTTCAACATAAGTTTATTTAATATGATTCTTCATAAAATTTGATGTCTTTACGTCATGTTGCTAAACAGCCTACTCTAGTAGCAATTTGGTTCAAGTCTGGTTTAAAAATTGTGATGAAAAATCTGTATACAGATTTTTACAATTCTAGGATAATAAACTTTCGACAAGTCATTCATCAAGAATTCTTTAGATATTGACCAAGATTCTTGGGCAAGACTGGGGCCAGAATTCGTCCAGAAAATGGTCAAAAACGGTTGTGCTCCTCATCACCACTTTTTGAGACTCAGTTGTGAAGGCAGAAATTCTTATTCTGATTTCAGTATAATAATAATGCGCACTGTCAGTCTTTTTCGTTTCTCACACAAGTCTAGATCAAGTTTATTTATCAACGATCCGGACAAATTCTGGCTACTGACTTGTCACTAAACTGGACCAAATATTGCTCAAGATTCTGTTTCAAAATTTTGTTCAAGTCTGTCGCCGGACTTGACAAATAATCTTGAATATCTGAAGAATTGGAATATTCTTTTTCCAGGGCTTGATCAACTATCTGGCCAAAGAATCTTATCCAAAACCAATGTTACTAAGGTAAGACTTTGCTTTGTTAATCATCAAAAATGACGTAATGCAACCAATTGTTAAATAAAATATAATGCATAGTAGTATACTCAGATAGTCCTCATCCAGCAAATGCAATCATTCTAACACACATATTTGGTATCGTGACCTTATGTCTCGTGCTAAAAACATTACCCTGGTCAGATAATGACTATCTTAGTATCCTGACTACAAAGACCGTACACTCGTATGATCTTTATAATTTTATCGCGTGAAAGATGTGTTGAAAATAATTTACAGAATAAACAAAATCGATTGGTCAACAGCTGGAATATTTTAAATTATCTTTAGAATACCTTAAATCAAAAACTTACCGGCCATCCTTGGAGTCCAATGTCACTAATACTTCCTGGTTTTCCGGGTGGTCCCATAGGTCCAGGAGCACCAGGACGACCTCTTCTCCCTCTTTTGCCTTCTGCACCTTTTTCTCCCTTGATGGTCACGTAATCTACAGCACCAGCAAACGCAGTTACTCCTGGTGGGCCTTTCTCTCCACGATCACCTTTAGCACCGGCAATGCCAGGTATTCCGGAAGATCCATCTTTCCCGGGTTCACCTTTATCTCCTTGAGGACCACGAGCGCCGTTAATACCAGGGATACCAGGTGCTCCTGTATTTCCTTTCTCACCTTTTTCACCTTTGTTACCAATTTCACCTTTATATCCAAAAGCACCGCGTTCACCTTTATCACCTTTTCCTAAAACTTTGATCATATCAGAAAATTTTCATCGAAATTTTTATTTTCTTCTACAAAAAACAAATTACCTAAGTTACTACTAATATTATCCTTAGCAATATCAAGTGATCCGGGTGGACCCGGAGGGCCTTGTTTTCCTTCTGGACCAATATCCCCTTTTTCACCTTTTTCTGCTGGTTTTCCATTTTCACCTGATGCACCCGGAAGACCGGCTATACCAGGTGCACCTGGTTCACCTTTATATCCTTGAATACCCCGAGCACCTTCTCTCCCATGATCTCCTTTACCGCCTTTTTGACCGGCCTCACCTTTAATACCTTTGGAACCAGGTACTCCAGGTTCTCCTTTGAGCCCAGGATTCCCTGGACTACCAATATCACCTTTTTGTCCCGGCAGTCCCGGTCTCATTGTGAGCCCATCCTGTTGTAGTAGAAAAATATTCTTCAATTACAAAGAATAAATAACTTATTTAACCAAACACAAACCATTCACATATATAAGTTACTCTATACTGATAAAAATCGACTTTATTCGAGAAATTGTTCTCTTTAAAATTTCACTCTTGTTTTGACATGATTCAGTTCTCTTCATTCTACAATTTACTCTGAAATAACGAACATAAAAGTCTTGAGTGAAGAGTGGAATTTTTCACTCAAAAATTTTATTTAACGAACCATACTGTTTAGAAAAAAATGAACATACTTCGTCTAAAAATGTAATTGTATTGAATTAAGAAAGATATATATGGGGCATTCCACGCCAAATCGGACAACATTCTGCCTTTGCATCTCCGATTGTTTTGAAAATTTTTAGGTAGATTTGGTTAGAAATCTAACTATTGCATTAGTCCTCATGGTGGAATTTTCACCTGATTTTGCTATTATATGTTATAATTAGTCGAGTAGGTTCCAAAAATACCATTGGTTGAAAAATATATATATATATATATATATATATATATATATATATATATATATATATAATATAACCAGCCTTGTCATCAGGATATTTCAGAAAGTTTTCAACCGATCTTGATGGAACTTGGTACACATATTTTTTGGGTAATTACCGAGGTCGAGTTCGAAGATGAGCGAAATCGGTCAATTAGTTTAGAAATGGCGGCCATTCAAAAATTTCAAAATTTTGTAAATTTCAAGTTTTGTAACTTTAACCGTGAATAACTTTTGACTGACAGAAAAGAGCTCATTTCTGGAAACTTTATAGTGAAGCTGATCTTATTTCCTTTAATTTGACCTATAACACTTATACTTTAGGAAGATTTTTATTAATTTTATAGGCCATTCAAAAATTTTAAAATAATGAAAACTTTTTTTCAAATGTGGTTTTTTTAGAATGACTTTTGAACAGCTTTACCGACCGATACCAAAAACTAATCAGCTCTTAACATCAAAAAACTACGTCGGTCGCCGCTGGACCGGTCAAAATCGCTTGACTCGTTTGTGAGATATTGTTGACGAAAAAAATCGAAAAAAGCGTTTTTTTCAAACAAATTCCGAAATTTTTTATCTGATCTATTCACGGTTTGGAATTTATCATAGAATTCAAAAAACTGCATCGACTGTTGTCAACTACGTGATAATCGGTTAAATCGTTTAAAAGTTATTGCGGATTAAAAATTTAAAAATTACTTAAACATGTTATCGAACAAATTAAATAACATAAATAAAGAAAATCTCATATCACATGAAATCTACCTTTCATTTCGGGTGAGGACGAATGGCATTTTTTATGTTATAGTATCCACCTCCGAGCTCAAAAGTCTTACAAAGTTTGATGAAACACGACTTTTTTAATTTTCAAACTGCTATAACTTTTGAATGAATCAACTGATTTTCACGAAGTTGGCGGCGATCGACGGAGTTTTTTGAGCTCTATAGAAAATTGAGAACAAAAAAAATTGATCTAATGAAACATTTCGGAGTTATTACAAGAAAACACTTTTTTCTACTTTTTTCGACAACGATAGCTCACGAACGCATCAACCGAGTTTGGTGGCGATCGATGCGAGTTTTCAAGGGTAAGAGCTAATTAGTTTTTTAGGTCGATCGGTTCAGCTAATTCGGAGATATTTTGAAAAAATGAAAAAAAAAACTTTTTTTACAATTTATCGAAATCTACTGATCTGAATCGGTTCCAACTCACAGGAAATCCAAGTTTGGCGAAGCCCTTTTCGAATGACACCAACTGCGATCAAATCGGTCAAGCCGTTCAAAAGTTATGAGAGGTTTACATACACACACACACACACACACACACACACACACACACACACACACACACACACACATAACCACCCACTCTGTCTTTACCGCCCATTCTGTATGTTAGACACGGCGGGTAAGATATTAAAGCGTATAATCCATCAAAGGATAGAAGCAATTGTGGATCCACTTTTCGCAAACAACCAATATGGTTTTCGGAAAGGCCGATCAACTCTCGATGCAATCAACCTGGTTTTCAATACAGCTAAGGATGCAATTGCTGGAAGTAGATGGAGGCGTGGTACGAAAAAGTGTTGTTTGGTGGCTGCCCTGGACATCAAGAATGCCTTCAATTCCGCTAACCAGGACTGCATTATGCGGGCCCTAGAAGACAAAGAAGTACCAGAATACCTGCGTAGAATGGTAGCAAACTACTTCACAAACCAAGTTTTTAAATACGACACAAAAAGTGGTCCAAAGGAGTACAAAATTACCGGAGGAGTACCACGAGGCTCAGTTCTGGGTCCTTTATTATGGAACATCATCTATAATGGCTTCCTGAGAATCACGTTGCCATCAGAGGTCAAGCTTGTTGCATATGCCGATGATGTAGCCGTAGTGATTGTCGCGAAACAACTGGAAGAGATAAATCTGGCCTTCGATATCACATTTAGCCGGATTAATCTATGGATGGAGATGATGAACTTAGAACTAGCCAAGCATACAACAGAAGCAGTACTTATTACGAGCAGATTAATAATGGAAACTATCAAGCTGGATGTCGGTGATCAAAAAATCACATCGCACTCTTATATCTAATATTTGAGAGTGATGCTTGATGCCCGACTCAATTTTAAGCAGCAGGTGGAACACGTCAGTGCCAAAGCGTCAGTAGTGAGAGGTAGCCTAGCGCGACTGATGCTCAACGTTGGTGGGCCAAAGCAGAGCAGAAGACTACAGTTATCATCTGTAGTCACATCGATCCTCACATATGGAATATCCATTTGGGCCCACACTCTCGAGGCGCAAGAATCATGGAAAAAGGCTGGACCAATATACCGACTGAGTGCCTTAAGAGTAGCCAGCGCCTTCCGCACAGTATCCGAGGAAGCAGTGTGCGTTATTTCCGGAACTCTGCCTCTCAGAGTCCTAGCTGAGGAAAGACGGCAGTTTTACCATCGAAAAAGGATAACTACATTGAGCGCTGAAGAGCTCAGAGCGGAAGAACGGCAGAACAGCATACGCTGATGGCAGCTCCAATGGTTTGCTGCAGAAAAGGGAAGATAGACGCATCGTCTTATACCAAAGATCGACGTTTGGCTAAACCGAAACTACGGCGAAGTCAACTACTACCTTACGCAGATGTTGTCAGGACATGGCTGCTTCCGAGCCTATCTTCATCGCTTTAAGTACGATGATTCTCCCGAGTGCCCGTCCTGCCCAGGTGTCGCTGAAGACGTGAAACACGTGTTCTTTGTGTGTCCTCGTTTTAATCCACAGCGCGAGGAACTAGAGAAAATCCTGAACAAGAGTATCCAACCAGAGACAATAGTAGAAGCAATGCTGTCCTCAGAAGCTGCCTGGAACGCCACAAGCACCTTTGCCACAGAAGTGCTTACAGAGCTGCGTTCCATCGAGAGAAAAAGAGCAAAAGACAGAATCTAGAAGGAAGGTAAAAATGACACCTTAACCACCAGAAGGAAGAGCGGCAGCTAAATCTTCCCCCCGCGAATACCGTAAGGTCGTACCGTAGGGGATTAGAGGAAAGAAGGAAAAGGGGTTTAGGGTTTAGTGGGTAGGAGTGTTAGCGTCGAGTTTTAGTATGACGCTGCGTCGAGTCGCCACATATCCAGGCCAAACAGCTATGCCTAGAATCCGTAAAAAGGATTCCCCCCCCCCTAAGGGAAAAAAAACACACACACACACACATACATACAGACGTACGGACATCATCGTAATAATAGTCAGGAAAGCTTCTTAGGGCTTCAAAACGTCGAGATCTGTTGAAACCTCGATTTTTGCAAAACGGGGTAAAACCAATAACTTCTAAATTTATCGAAAATCATTGATTTTTTTTTAGCGGAAAGTTAAAAATCTATTAAACACGATTGTTAATGACTTGTTAGCATTTTCATGGATGAATATGATCTTAGAATTAAGAAAATGACAAAATTTAAAAATCTGTAAAAAATAGCATCTATGGAGAAGGTAAGAAATCGTATTTTCGGATTTCAGACTGTCGTTCGTTTGTATCGAATTTTTAACTTCCCGCTAAGGTGCCATCTGGGCTGCGCTAGTGTATGGTCGTGTCTGTAAAGTGCTCGCCTTTTGGTTGTTATAAAATTTAGTATACTTTACAACTTAATTGTCACGTTCGGTCATTTAATACGTCTAAACTGCATTGTGTGATACTGCTAAAAATATTGGTGCTCTGATTAATCAGATAATAATTATCATTAGTTTTTCTCTAAGTTACTCTGAATTAAGGTTAGAGCATTATCTCTCATGGGGAGACGTGCCTGTAGATCACCTAATGCAAAGAGAAGAATATATGGTGAGGCTTTTGCCTACCTCCGAAGAGGCTGTTTCCTGGGCTCAAAAGAGCTATACACGCACGTATATTTGTTCTATTCTCACGTAACAAATACACAGCCAAATTTGCGGGCAAGGAAAAACCCTGCCCTCAAGCATTTACGCTATCATAGGACAGATGTGAATTGAGTTGAATTTAATGTCAATCTGTCCTCGTACTCAGTCAACTGTTTCAAACTCATTGAACGACTGCGTTGGCCTGATCGGTAATGTAATGTCATTACAACCTGACCAGTTACCAGCGGGGCCCATGCGGGGAGGTGCAGCCGTAAGACCTGTTTGAGCCACAATACTTATTCCCCCGACAAGAGTCTCGTTCGTATATCTGTCTAATCTAGTCCCCGAATCTTTGAGCTTACCTGCGTTGCCAAATAACTTGACAGCTTCTCGAGACCTCGCTCGGTTACACCTAATGCAAAGAAGAATATTTGGTGAGGGTGTTGCCTACCTCCGAAGAGGCCGTTTCCTGGGCTCAAAAGAGCTGTACACGCACGTATATTAGCCCCATCCTCACACATCAAAAGCACTGTCATATTTGCGGGCTTGGAAAAACCCTGCCCTCAAGCATTTAAGCTATCATTGGACAGATGGGAATGGAGTTGAATTTAATGTCAATCTGTCCTCGTA